CAGAACCCAGATTAGGAAGAGTTGCTGGATTTGACCCTGTATTTAGCAGGGTCCAGAGCTCTGGGAACATGACACAAGGAAATTCAACTGTGTGTCTCCACCACTGTGCTGGTTCCCAGGTGCTGGGAGCTTATCACAGGGCTGGCTTATTCTACAGACATATGGCTTAATTATTAAATTTAGAAACAAAAGAGCCCATATATCTCGATTTAATTCGATTTCTTCATTAAATAATACTGATGAATTTCTGAGGTGGATATAACCTCAGAGGCAATTGACTAGACCTTGACTGGAGAAAATTTTTCTCTCTGAAAACACAATGAAACTTAAAGTGCCATCCCCTCCCTCTTGGTCATAAACAAGTCTGGCTCCCCCTGCTGGTAGAATAAATGCACACGCCGCTAGGCATTCAGTGACCTTTACAACCTGGCCCCACTTTATCTTCTTGGAATAGATAAAACTCTGGATCAACCTACAGGACATCTGGATTGAACTCTCAGGTGCCATCTACCTCCTCCCCCCACCGCTTACTCATTCGGTCATGTCACAAATATTTACAAAGCACCTGCATGCCATGAAGCCTGCTAGTCCCTAAGGCTCAATGTTGTAGGGACGCAGCTTATGTTCCCTTCCCAGGCAGTAAAGTGCAAGATCCTGCCTTAAGCACAGTGTCCTCCCTGGAGAGGATTTTAGTGCCCGTATCTTATCACACATGGGATGCAGAGAATGAGGGAAAAGATTGCTATTCCAGAAGACAGACTGGGACAAATTGCCGGATGGAGCTGCGCAGAGAAGACAGGCGCAGCAGATCAGAACCTGCAAAGGCCATTTCTCAAGCACCGTGCCCAGGGAAAGGAGCTCTGGGCTGCATGCCTCTGGCACACAGAGCCTCCACCTGCACTCCCTCTCTCTGCCCTCTTTCCAGGCAATACCCACTGGCTGTTGAAAACTCAGTGCAGGAAGAACCTTTTCCAGAATGTCTAATTGACTCTTTCCTCATCTTTCTGTAGTAGAGTTTAATGCACTGAACTTGCTTCCATCCTTCTTGTGAAGCAGGTCACTTCTTGAAGCAGGTCAGCCACACAGCGCCTGGCTGACTCATCTGTCACCCCGGTGCCCTGCACAAGCCTAGCACACCTTGGTGGGGGCCCTCTGAAAGCTTGCCAAATGAAGAATGAATCTGTAAATCAACAAATTAAGGATATGAAGTAGCGAGGTGAATTGGGAGTCATCCAGTCCCCAAACAGGGGAGCCATCAGAGGCGTTATCACCCCTGCTTAGCATCTGAAATTCTATCTTTGCAGAGCTTCTCCTCTTGCCATGGTCCCTCCTAATATTGATATCTGTCCCCCTAAAACTCCCAACCCTCTTTCATGGGGCTTCCCTCTAGAAACCCATGTCTGTCTGAGGCCCAGAGACCACATTCATGTGCCCTTGGCCTGGATGAGGGCCTTCTATGCATAACTGGACTGCTAGGCTTATGATTCAGGTCTAGGGTCTGCTCATGGGGAGCCCTCTGCTCACCTTAGCTCCTCTCCCCGTCCTCTGCACAGGTTGCTCCCAGAGGGCGGAGAATGCTGGGCACCCTATGGGTTGCAGAAGGAATGTGTGGATAGGGGGGTTCACACCCACTTCAGCGGCGCCTGCATATGTATGGATCCACTCTAGGTGGGGTGTCAGCCAGCCTCTTCTGTATGCAGAGGAGGTACGATTTCACACCATGGGAGTTCATGCAAGGCAAGGGAGGTGCTTAACCTCCTGCCCCAGTGGGAGAATTCAGCCCCAAATGTCCCCATAACCATACAGAACCCACAGGTGTGGTCTATAGTGTGAACTCGCTCTCTGGGAACCAGAGCTCGCTGGGTTATGGGCATACAGGCAATTTTTAAAAAGGAAATGGATGCCAATCACCTTTAAAGCAATGGGATGTTTTCTCTACCTTGACATGATAGCTGGGTGTTGGATTCTTCTGTTTTAATTGTCAAGAGTCAGTCTCACATAATGCCCTGCCTACCACTTAAAAGGCACATGGATCATTTGTATATGTGACCAGGCAACCATGCATTAAGCACATTAATTTAATAATGATTACACTGTTTGGTTACTGCTCCCTCAATGTTTGCATAAACAGCAGGTAAACCATTTATGTGCTAATCACACCATGTGTGTTCAGCCAGAGTCAGCTACTGCACCATGGGAAAGGTGGCTCACTCTAAGAGACTTAAAGACCCGCTCATCTGATACCTGATGCTTTGATTGTCTCCCCACCTCCTTGCCAAGACTGACAGGGAGCTTACTACCTCTTCAGTAGTCCATTCTCTCTTTGGGTAGCCATAACCATTTGAAAAGTTTGAAGTTACTAGGAAGAATATTCCTGAGAAGCAGCATGTTTATCTCATTTCCAAGTTCTGCTTTGTTCATTTAACATTCCTATTTTCTTCATATCGTTAAACAATCTTGAATTTCTGCATGTATGTGCAACCACATCTTTACAATTAGACATACATTTTATAACTGCTATTCACTAAACAACACATTACAAACATCTTTTTTGAGGTTTATTTATTTTTAAATATAATTTATTTATATATATTTTACATCATTGTTTATTTTTGTACAACATATGCTTTCTCCTCTCAGGGGTAGTGCCCATAGAATTCCCACCACCCATTCATCCGTGCACCATCACCATAGTCTCTTGTGCTCTTCCCTCCCTGTTTAGATGCCTCTCCCTTCCCCTGCCCTGCAGAATGTCTTTGATTTATAGTCGCTTGTTAATTTTTTTTTACTGTTATTATTTTTCCCCTGATTCCTTATTTGGTTCCCCTATATTCCTCCTATAAGTGAAAGCATCTGATATTTTTCTTTTCCTTATGCCTTATTTCACTGAGCATAATCCCTTCTAGCTCCATCCATATTGCTATAAATGGCATTTCAGTTTACCTACATCTTCCTCATTTTCAGTGCCCACATTATCCTCTATTGTTGGAGGTATAAATAACAATTTATTTAGTCATTGCTTGTTAGTGGGCATTCAGGTCATTTCCAATTGTTTGCTATGGTAACCAATTCTAGGAGGAAATCCTCACACATCTTTCCTTAAGAAAGATTCATAGAAGCGCGCAGAGGGGCAAGAAGTATGAACACTTTAAGATTGATTGATTGATTGATTGATTGATTGATACAAGCACTGGGTACAGTCAGAAGCACGGAGGGTGAGAGAATTCATCAGAGCCAGAGCGGGGAACAGAACAGGCAGACTGACGAAATACACTGCTGAAGGGGAGCAGCGGGCAACAGGAGAGTTCTGTCGTGCCATGTGGGACCCTTGCCGGCGGCCAGGGATCCGAACTGGCACTTCAGAGGCTGCTCGCAGCTTTGCAGCCCAGCGCTCAACCGCTGCGTCACCAGGGGAGGCCCATATGAACACTTTAAAAGGCCATTCCAGGTAAAGACAGCAGCCTCCTGGTTGAAAGCAATTGTTAAGAAGGACTGACAGCCCTGCTGGTACTATGCCTACATTATATTTAGTCCTCATTGCCACCCACCCCCACAATGCCTAACCATACAGATGCTATGTGCTTATACAGGAAGAGCTAGCTGTGCTCTGACCACGCTATCAGGTGGCCTCTGCAAGGAACTCTTTGTTGGGTGAGGTTATCCGCTGAAAGATCACAAACTAGGGAGGAAGGACTTGAAAAGCAAAATGGACATATCTGAGAGCTGTCATTGGTCTTCCCAGAGTCCGGGAGGCTATCTTCTTTTCTAGGAGTTCAGACAAAGAAAACAACGCAGGATGAATGCAGGCTAGGGGAAGTGAAGGCAGGAAAAATCAGCCATAAAACCTGCTTAGCAAGTCTCTCCCTCCAGCCAGTGTCTTCACTTGGCTATACATCAAAGTCCAGCCATCAACATTCCCTTGGGTTTCTTGTCTGGGTCTCCTGCCAGGACCAGGTCAGGCACGGGTCCACAGAGCCTGGCTCCAAGCAGGCATAGGGGACACATAAATAAATAACTGACTGCAAGACCTTGTTCCACTATGTGTTTCCATCACACACTCCCCACTAAACCACAAATTTGTTGACACTTGTGCACCACAACATTCAGCAGAGCACTATTTGTAGTAACAAAAGCTTGGAAATATTGGTTAAACAACTACAACTTTTGGACTTTAAAACTGTGCAAAATTTAAAAGCCCATTGTCGATTCAAAAGAAAGCATCTCATCACAATCCAAATCACTGTATAGGTGAAATGCACCAGGACTCTAAGTAGTTTTAAGGGGAGTGGGGAGGAACAGCCAATTAAACTATGCTTCATTAATTACACAGGAAGCAGGATGAGAGCTTGCAAGGGACAGGAAATACCACAGATGAAAAATCAAGAGGGTTGTAATGTGTAGCGCGTGTATGTATGTTTAAGGAGATGGTTCATACAATCACACGTGCTTTTACAGGCGTGCAATATTCCCAGAAAGGTGCACAGGACCTGGCAAGAGTGACCTCTTGAGGCTGGTTTGGATTGGGATACAGGGTGGAAGAGAAACCCTCTTTTCATCCTTACACCCATTTGTAAACTTTGAAATTTCAAACCACATCATCCTTGTATGAAATAATACTTTGAAAACTTAGTAATGCAAAAGACAAGAGAATGTGCGGCGTCTGGAAGGATTCAGGGCATAGTATTGGAGCCCTGAATCTGGACACCGGACACGCAATCCTCGCCACCACAGCGATTTAGGGCAAGCTCCCGTCTTGACGGGATCTGTTTCCTCAAGAGGCCGTTGGGCATCAGAGTGTGGGTCTCAGCACATTCTCCAGCTTGTCGCCCAGCGCTTGCGGGAGCCCACCCCGCCAAGCTGGCTGTGGGCCGGCAGCCGTCTGCGGGCGCCCCGCGGTGCAGACCCGGCCAATCAGCGGCCGCGGGGCGGGCGGGGTGGCTGCGCTGCGCGCTCCTAGCGGAGCGCGAAGCAGAGGCGCCACTGCCGTCCGGGAGCAGACCATGCCACGCTCGCCCTTGCTCTTCCCGCTATTGCTTCTCCTGCTGCCGCCGCTGGCCCCGGGCTTCGGGCTTCGCGGCACCGGTGACCGCCGGCCCGAGTGCGGCCAGTGCCGGCCGGAGCTCTGCCCGGCGCCCGCGCGCTGCCCGGAGCCCTGGATCGCCGCGCGCGACGAGTGCGGCTGCTGCGCGCGCTGCCTGGGCGCTGAGGGCGCGAGCTGCGGGGGCCGGGCGGGCGCTCGCTGTGGCCCCGGGCTGGTGTGCGCGAGCCGCGCCGCGGGGACGGCACCGGAGGGCACCGGGGTCTGCGTGTGCGCGCAGCGCGGCGCCGTCTGCGGCTCCGACGGCCGCTCCTACCCCAGCGTCTGTGCGCTGCGCCTGCGCGCCCGGCACGCGCTCCGCGCGCACCTGGGCCACCTGCACAAGGCGCACGATGGCCCCTGCGAATTTGGTGAGTTCGGCTTGGACCCACAGTGCTGGGAAGGGTGGAGGAAGCGGGACCCCAAATTCTGGGGTGTGGGCCAAAAGATTCCCCGGTACAGCAATGGAATGCGCCACCTAGGCCTCAGTTTTCTGTTCAGGAGCAGTTTTTTTCTCATCTAGCTACATGGTGAGGGAGACAGGGGCAGGAAGCCACATCCTGCCTCCTTCCTTACCAAGCTCATGGAGACAACAGCCACGGAGCTGCTCAATATTTTGGTCAGCCTGCTGCTCCTTTCGGTACTTAAGTACTTGCTCGTGCATTTATTTGTAGACCTGACATGTTTGCCTCCACGAGCTGGGAGGTGGGGAATGGAATGATTCTCACTGAGTCTAAGTCCCCCCCACTTAACCACCGGGCCTGGCCCGGTGGTTTGAATCAAGGGGGAGGGAAGGGCTGTGGGGGGAGATGAAGATGCCAGAGCAGGAGGAAGAGGAGTCCCAGACCAGGACTCAGGAGTAACCTGGCCAGAACCCTGGGTGGGGCCCTGCTGGGGGCGCGAGGGAGCTCCCATCCAGGACAGGTCAGACCCCTGGAAACCTAAGCTCTGAAAAGGAAACACACCTGGCTTTTGTGGAGCTAAGGTTTATATTATTTGGAGTGTTCCACTTTAAGTAAAGGAATAGAAAGTCATCAATTGCTAGGGACCTAGAAATTTAAGCTTCATTAACTTTACAGCAAAGGCATCTATGGTGCTATCATTGTCCCTGTTCTATGTGTGTAAGTTTTTAAAGTTAAATAAAAATCACCCAGAAAGCAGGATAGGGATGTCTAGCAAAGCACCCTGCTGGCCCATTAGGATTTGGAGAACTCCCGGTGTGTATGCTGCCTGGAGGGGGTGGTGAGGGCAGAGAGTGCTTGAGCTGGTGGCTGATGAATACCAAGGAGTTCAGCTTGGGGTTCAGGTATCTTGAACGGAATTCTGACCTGGGCCTGGAGAACGAGTCCAGACCAAAATGCCTAAGTCAACAAAGACGTCTTGGGAAGTGTCTAATAATATCCATTCCGGTCCCGTACCCCACCCCCTTAACATTCAAGGTATATTTACTCATACCCTGGGGACCCAGCTGGTTGTTGGAGACAGGGCAGGAAGGTGCCGGGAAAACAATGCTTAGCTCCTTGAGGAGGCCCCGGGGCAGCCCTGCAACCTGGATGGGCCTCCGATGAAGGAAAGACTTGGCTGAGGCTTCCCGCACCCCTGCTGGTTCCCTGAGTGACCTTGAGCTGGTCTCTTCCCCTGGGCCCACTCAGCTCCTGCAGAGCGCTGTTGAGGTGCCTTCCTCTTTGAACCTTTGTTTCTGCCCCTGGCATTTCACTAGTCCTGTCTCCTTCCTCCTACTCCTTCCTGCCATTTCTTTTTCACAAGTCTGCTTTCCTCAGCAGTTCTCTTTGTCTCTAGACAAGTAACACTTTCATTCCACATGCAGGAGACAGAAGAAATGCTGACCAGGGCCCCAGAATCCAGCCTGTGCTGATGGGCTCAGATGATTGCCCCCTGGAGTGGTGTCTATTGCAGAGAGAGAGCACCTTGAAGACATTTAGGACAGATCTGCTATTAGGTAGTGGAGACCAAGACACAGTGACACAGCGGGACAGGAGACTTGCCCAGGGTGACCAGTAAAACCAGACCAACCCCCAGGTCCCCAACACCCCGTTCAGGGCTCTTTCAGGACAGGAATTGATAGCGTTAAGTCAGGCAGGTGGCGGTTGCTATGGTTACCAGAGTGCGGACAGATGGCAGATGGAAACCCCAAACCCCTAATTCATTGAAAATTACCAAATGACAAGTAAATGTGACAGCCCCTCCACTCTGATCTACGGGCACTGAAGCCCGCCCCAGGCACATGCCCCGGGAGTGAAGATGTTCACAGGGCCAATCGGAGGCCATTCCGAAGCCACTTTCAATGATCCCTTTCGTGACAGGCATCCCGCCTCCCCAGAATCCAGCCCTCCTTCCCCACCAGTGATTGTGCCATCCACCGCAGACCCTCGCACTGTTTTCCAGTTGCTTTTTGTCCTGAAATGTTTATGTGGGCCCTGCTTTTCTTGTGTCACTGTGAATCCTGAAGGTGTGGATGGGGGATGGTTTCCCAGGGAAGGGGGGCACCTCCTTCTGCACTGCCCTCCAGCCCTCCTTTATTCAGAGGACACAGCAGGAGCACTTTTTAACAATGCCCCTAGGGATCCCTGCTGAAGAAAAACTGAACCAGTGGGAGCAGCAGCTGTTGTTCTATATTGGAAATAAAATCACCCTGCACAACTCCCAATATAAGTGAGCCTGGATTCAGTGGAATGAGGCCTCCGGAAACAGTTTTTAGACTGTGCAGCTGTGGGGTAGCATCCTTATACGTGCCCCTAAGTGCCATTTGGAGACAGTTTTCAGGCTTAAATTCTGACCTTTCCTCTCATTCTCTGAAATACCAAAATGCCTGATATTGAGAGTAATTCTGTCATCAGTGCACATTTATCGAAGATCCACTGTATTCCTATATGAATGATTCTTTATTGTTGCCACTGCTTTTGTATACATCTTAGTCGATTTTTACGACTACCTGAGCCAGGTCTCACAGTTATTGAATAGAGAGAAAAATGGAGGTGCGCGGAAGGGAATTTCCTGGAACCTGGCTGGTTCCCAGTCAAGTTGGGGCTCCATACTGGGTTTTCAGGCTCTTTTCACATGGGGCCATGCATGTCTAACTCACTGGCAACCTGGCTAGGATGGGGCTGCCAGCAGGCCAGCCTGCAATCTTTCTCAGTCTGGATCCCCCTTCCTGTTTTTCCCTCTAGGCCTATTACTAGTGCCTCTGTCTAGAGCTGGGTGAGGGCTCCTGAGGGAGATGGGGTAGCCTCACAGAAGAGGAAGCATCTGAGAGGAGCCCAAAAGACCAGAAGAAAATCCCTGGGCTGAGCAGGGGACAAAGGGAGACCCAGCATGAACCTAGGCTCGGAGAGGGAGGAGGCCCCAGGGTAGTTCAGGACAGAGTCATCGCGATTCTTGGGGGCCAGGCTGAGGGGTGAAACTTCATTCTGTACTAAATTATTGATTCTGTTCCTCCACTACAAGGTGGCGTGGCATTATTATTGTCATCACATTACTTTAAAAGGCTGGGCTGCTCAGTGTACTCTCCCCCCACCTTTTGTTTACACAGGGAGGGGATTGTGATCCTACACACAGCAGGTTGGGGTGGGTTTGAATGTTAAATTCAATAGGAACAGAATCCATGCCAGTGCCCACTGGGGCACCCAGCCCCCGAAGCTTCTGTGAGCTTGATCCTGTGTCTTAAAAAATTTACCTCGGTTGAAATTCCAGCTCCACTTAGAAATCTCAGCCTGTGCAAGGCATGTGTTACCAGGTAACCGGGAGAAGCAGCAAATACCACTTTGTGAGAGGGACAAAGAAAGGGGGCCTCGTGCTCAAAAGCCTTTCATGCCGCAGGAGGGGATTTGAGGCACAGGCTGCAGGGAGCCGGATTAAGCTGTTTCTCGTTCCACATCTGTAACATGACTATTAGCATAAATTATCAGGGCTGTTCGGCACATTGATCATTAAACCCTTTGGTTGTGTGCTTTTTCATACATGCAGATGGGGCCCTGGGGGGGATGACTTCTGATATTCCGTCTTTCCCTAGCACCGCTAACTTCAAAGAAATCTCAGAGGCATTTGGAAAGATCTTGCATTCTGGCCATCAAGGACCACTTTAGTTGATGGGGTGGGGACAGATCCCCACACACTGTAATAAGAACATCGACCCTTTTCATTTGTACAAACCCACGCGGTTAATAACACAGTGATATCCAGTCTCCCCTTTCACCCCAGAGGATGTGCGGCCACAGTCATTCATTTACAGATAAGGAGGAAATGGTTAGCAGTTTGCCCACGTTCTGTGGTTGGCGAGGGACCTCCAGCACTGGCATTTCCCTGGGTACCCTTTTGCCCGGCCACAGTGTTGCCTCTGTCCGTGCACCCCTGGATGACTTTCCTGTGTTACCTGATGAGTGCATTTGTGCCATCTGAGAGCTGTTGTTGGCACAAGCAGAAGCATACAAGAATTTAGCAAGAGCTAGAGATGAAGCTGGCGCATTCAGACACTGGACTCACCAGGTACTGCCCTGCATCTTAGAGACCACATTTCTTTTGTCAAAGGCAGATAGAATGGAAAACCTTGACTTTTCCAAGAGTGTGGTAGCTCTGGCTGCCAGAACAGGACATTATGAGGCTCGCCAGAGCGAGGCCATGCCTCTGGGGCCTCCAGGCAGGGCCCACACATATCCCCGCTGAGCAGAGTCCAGGAGAGGGTCCCAAGCAAGCACCTATGGCAGATCACCTGGGGGGTCACCTAGCTGCTGAGTGCTCAGATTCTTCTGTGGAAGCCTTTTATGGTCTGCAGGGGTTCTTGTAATCATTCCTCACAACAGCCTACAGAGAGGGGATGGGAAGGAGAATGAATTTTGTGCCCATTTTAAAGAAGAAACTGAATCCAAGTGCCAGCCCTGGGGCTTGTCAGGGGTAGTATTTGAACCTGGATCCCACCTCTCTGGGGTTGTTATTGGCATTAAGCACCCCAGCACCACCCTCAAATGAGCCCTTGGGGACCAGGAATGTCCTGCTGGTGTTGAGGATGCAGCTTCCATCTCGTGGTATCCGCACACACTCTCTTCCCTGGGGGTGATGTTGGAGGTTTTCATTGTGCAGGAAAGAACAGTTCTGTGACTGTTTCCTTAGAAAGGTCTGCTGGCAAGGTGCACCCTGGCCTGGAGTCTGCAAACTGGGATTTTAGGAGGGTCCTCACCATTCCCAGAGCTGAGAAGGGGAGCTCACTGTGCCTGAACTCTGTACACGATGTGCAATCCTCCACACCAATGCTCGTCATGATCTGGAATTTTGGCTTTCCCTGATCATCTCCCCCGAGCCCTTTCCCTTTGCTGATTTGCATTGTCTCCTTTACGTAATAAATCATAGCTGTGAACATACCTATGCTGAGTCCTGTGAGTTCTCTTAACAAATAGGTGAACCTGGGAATTTTCTTGGGGACTCACAAACAATCTCAAAGGAACTTGCTCTTATTCTGGAATGGAGGCCAGTCAGATAAGTGTTTAACAATGAGTAGGGAACAAAATAACACAGACTCAAAAATAGGGTGATTTTCGGTGGACGGCGGGACGGGGGTGGGGTCCTGTGTAAGAGCAGTGGCAGTGGAGGGTGGCTGTCGAGTGAGTGAAGCATGTGCATGTGTTGAGCTGGGAGGCCAGCTCCCTGAAATTAGTTATGTACACAAATGGTTAATCAATAACCATTAAAAGGAAATCAGTGTGGAATTAAGGGTGCTCCTCCAGGCCCCTTCACCTTTCTGAGTTTTGCTTTCCTCATCTGCAAAATGGGGATAAAAGTGGGGCTGGTGTGAGGGTGAAAGCAGTAGTGTATGTGCGGGTGTCCTCTGGAGAGAAGGCAAAATGGGGTAACAGAACTCAAGTTTCAGAGCCAGGCCCTTGTCTCCCACGCCAATTCAGACTGGGTGACCCTGGCTAGCTCCCCTAGCTGGCAGCTGGTGAGACTGCTAGAAAATTCTCCCACAACCTATAAGCAGACAGCAAGTGCTGGTGCCCGCCCGGACAGCGTTACCACCATTGCTACTGTTATGACAAAGAATGATCGTAAAGCACTTTTAAGAAATGTTCTGAGAGAACAGAATTCAGTTACAGTGGGATCACACAACTGTATGCATTGTCCAAATGTAGAACTGTACCCGGGAAGAGTAAATGTATTGTATGTAAATTTTTAAATAGATGAGAATTTGATTGTCCCTTTATCATCCAAAGCAGGCCACTCTTTTGTAAAAGAAATGGTATTTTCTGCCACAAAATCAGTGGCCCAGACATTATTTCTAAGACACTCTTTCTTAATTGCAGTTATTGAAAGAGGAGAGTGAAAATTGAGGAGAAAGATGAAATGTGATTTACAGGTTTATTCATTTAGGCCTGAGAAGGATGGATGAAATCTCATTTAAAATTTATGACTTCACATGAAGGAAAATACAACACACTGATTGAGTGTCCCTTCGGAGCCCATTGAGGGCTTTGGAAGAAGACACGGCTCTGATTGTTCCCACAGCGAGCCATTTGAGGACTGGTTTGGGCTCCCGAAGGACATGAATACATTAGATTCTCTTTGTCATCCCTTGCAGATGGGGCCTCTGCCGGAGTAGCACAGGATGTTGTGATTCTTTGTGGCAGCCAGGCAGGTGGCTGAGGGGCAGCCAGCAATGTGAGACGCCTGGGACCTCGTTTCATGGGGGGGGGGGGACTTTGGCCATGCTCAGGAACATGTCTAGGGCATGGTGCTTGGGGGTCAATCAGGTAGGATGGGTCATGCAGGCTGGGAATGGGGAGGGCAGCCAGCAGGTGGGGTGGCAATGCCTGTATTCAACCCACTAGAGTTCATCAGTCCTGAGATTGACAAGTAGGAGGAACAAGGAAGTAAGTCTTAGCTCCAGGTGAGGCCAAGTACCTTCTTATTAGCAGAAGGGGATAAGATTGGAAGGGACTGGCTTCTGTAGGTAGTGAGTGCTCTGTCACTGGAGGTATACAAGGAGAAGCTAAATGAGCACACTGCAGACAGTCAGGGAATCTGGGAGAGTTGGGATGCCAGAGGGCCCTTCCAATTCGAGACTGTCATCTAAGGCTATTTACCAGGGAGTTTTTGGCATTAGCTTGAAAACATCAACTTCCCATTTGTCTGAAAGACCAGACCAGTCTCATATCTAGCTCCTGTCTCCCCATCTCTTGCCCCTCTTTCTCCAGCCTTTTTGTCTCCTGCCCTTTGTTATTTTTTTCTGGCAGCCTCACCCAGGTGGACAGCACCCTCTACCTCCCCAGAGCTGTTGTGTGGAGAACGGCAGGGCTGTCCTTGAGACACCAGATCAAGCCCCAGGAGTCATAGACTGCTATTTGATGGCCGGAGAATGAGTGTGTTTGTTCATGCAGTCATCTGTCTCCCAGACCTGCTCCTGCCCCCACTTGTGTGTCATGTAACTTGAGCCATTACTTGCCAACTCATTCTGCGATTAGACCAGCTGAACCACCTTGTGGAGCAGGGGGCATTAGCTCCACCTTCTACACCAGCACCCCAACAGAAAGCATTTCCCTCACAGGACCTCTGCATTGCACCTTGCCCAAGACATCATGGGGCTGCATACCAAGGTGGGCAGTACGGGCCGCCCAGTGCAGGTGAGACCAGATGGAAGCACCTAGACTGCAAGGCAGGGTGCGACTCAGCAGCTAAAAGAGGTCAGACCTCTGGTCCTGGTCTTAGCTGCATAACCTTTAGGTCCTGCCAGGTGGGGAGCTGTCCACCCCTGGAGCTTGGGGTGGGGGGGGAGGTTTTACAGTCCCTGCAGAGGGAAGGCAGGCAGTGTGGGCCCTGAGGGCACCAAAGGACTGGATGGAGGACCTGAAGGCAAGGCTGAGGCTGCTGAACTTGATTTTTTCAGTCCCAGTGTGAGCAAAGCAGATGTCAGGCAGAGAGGAGGCAAGCGAGGAGTCGCAGCTAAGCATTTCTAGCACAGAAGCCTGCCAGCTCTCCAGGTCATCCCGAGGGCCCACGCCCTCCCTCACCTCTCTCCCATCTGCACACTGACCCACATTGCCAAGTCCCTGATTCAAAAGCTCCATCGTCAGCAGTTTTGCCCTTTGGATTGGGGAGGTGTGTGTGGAGTGAGGGAGGCCACCACGTGGATCTGTGCTTCTAGGATGTGCAAATGGGTGTCTTGAGCAGACCGCAGCGGGTGTGGGCACCAGGGTGAGTGCAGCTGCTCTGCATGGCATTATTCTTTGAAACGCCCTCCAAGTGGAAGGAGAAAAGCCCATCTGTTAGAAGACTCCGCTGCTGGTGAAGTGACACCAGCCCCTCCCAGAGCCTGCCTCTTGTCATTTTGTTGAGTTGTAAGCAGATGGCATCTGGGTGCCTGGAAGGAACCCTGGGAGGGAGTGAGGCCAGACAGGAGCTCTGCTGCAAGCGTGCTGGGTGACATTGGAAAGTTGCCTGGTTGTAGGACAAAGGCGGTGGGCCGGGAAACATGTAGGCATCCATCCAGGGCTAAGGGAGACTCTTCTATGATTCCTTGCCTAGGAGTAACCTGCTCTTTGTGTGTGGAGGGTTTTCAGCTGCTCCCCTGTTACACTGACCCAACAGGCTCTCGGCCCATGGAGTTTTAGAGGCCGGTGCTTAGACCCTGACAGTAAAATAAAGGTCATGCTCCTTGTCTTTTCTGCCAGCTCCTGTGGTTGTCATTCCACCCCGGAGTGTTCACAATGTCACCGGTGCACAAGTGTATCTGTCCTGTGAGGTGAGGGCTGTGCCTAGTCCTGTCATCACATGGAGGAAGGTATTTCTATCCAAGATCTCCTGGGGGGAAGAGGGGAGGGGAGAGGAATAACTTTTTTCTTTAAAGTGTGTAGGTGTGTATATCTTATATGTGGACCAGAGAATTAAGATACCTTATATGCCACTCCCCTACCTCCAGATTTTTGCTTCAAAACTTTGCCCCCCAAAGTCCTCCCCAGAGAAGGGGGAGCTACCATCCTTCTTATATCATTTGCTTCCTTGGCTTAGGAAGTTCTGCTGTTATTCCAGCCTAGATCAGCTTGAATAAATTAGAGCCTACACCACTGGATCTGGTTTTAGAAAGACCTAGCAGATAACCCAGTCTCATTCCAAATCTGAATCTTCTTGCAGATTAGTCTCTGAGAGACTGGCATGCATCAGAGGGCACGTTGTTCCCTTAACAGCCCTGACAGGGGCCATAGCATATTGAATTGGTGGTGTCCACATCCCTGCTATCTAGCAGGGGGTGCTGTCCATACATACATTTAGGTTTTAACAGCTACTGATGTCATTTTGGTAGGAATAAGAGGTGCTGGATGTGAATGAGGACATTGGGCCAGTAGGAGAATGAGGACAGTGAGGGCAGTCAGTGGGGTGATCCTTGTCCACTATGTTTTTCCTAAACCACGCTGGCTTCTCTGTCCTCTGTAGGTCACCCAGTCTCCTGAGGGTACCCAGGTGCTGGAAGACTTGCCTGGGGACCATGTCAATATAGCTGTCCAGGTGCGGGGGGGCCCTTCAGACCACGAGACCACAGCCTGGATTTTGGTAAGTGTCTCATTTGTTTAGAATTAATAGCTAGGACTGACTGGCCTGTAGAAAGCACCCTTTGTATATCTATAACACATTACACACTTCAAGGCTGTTCTTGTCCATTTCTCAGAAAAGCAGGGCAAAGGCTTTAACCCCTGAAAGCATAAGTGATCTGCCATGGCAGAGTTCTGGCCTGGAAAGATGTTCATGCCCTAATCCCTGTTATGTGGCAAGAAGGGATTAAAGTTGTTGATTAGCTAACTTAAATGAGGATGTGATCCTAGATTATTTGGGTGGGACCAGTGTCATCACAAGAGTTCTTTAAATGTGGGAGAGAGGCAGAAAGGGGACAGCCAGAGAGATTGTCATGTGAGAAAGACATGACCTGCCATTGCTGGCTTTGAAGATGGAAAAGGGGGGCTACAAGCCAAAGAACACAGACAGCCTCAGAATGGGAACGTCAACACACGGATTTTCCCCTGGGGTCTCCGGAAAGAAGGCAGCCCTGCTTACCTCTTAACCTTTAGCCCAGAGACCCAGTAGGATGCCTTCTTACCCCAAGAATAGGTAAAGAATTTGTATTGTTTCAGTTTACTAAGTTTGTAGTAACTGGCTACAACAGCCACAGGACAATGACACACTAGCACGTGGCTGATAAAGAGGAAAGATGGCACATTGGTGCCTGCAGAGCTCTCTGGAGCCACCTGCAGCATGTCTGCCAGGGTGGAGAACGCCACGGAGGGGTGAGACAGGGCTCCATGTTGGGCTCGCCACTGCCTGTCTGAGCAGCAGTGTCCACGGTTGTAAAGAGAGGACTGTGGACTGACAGCATCCCGGGGCCCTGCCACACTGGAGTCTCTGACTTACCCGTGAGTCTCCTGTTGCCGGCGGGTAGTGACGCTCACTGCTCACCCCCAATCGGCAGGGGTTCAGGATGAGATGACCGCATGGACCTTTGGTCTGTAGAGTGGCTCACAGCTGAGCACTTGTTACCAAAACCGGAGGCAAGAGCAGCGGGCTGGTGGGGGGCACGCCATGCATGGCATGAGCACTGGTTGCTGTCTGAGGTGCTCTCATTTCACCCCAGCTCTGGGGTCTTGGGGACTCTTCCCCACTCCACTGAGACAGGCCGGATGCAGGAGGGTCTGTGGCTTTTTAGGCTGCCTCTGCTGGAAGCGGCGTGGGCCAGTCCTTGCTCAGAAGACCGCTGTTCTTTCACATTTCAGTCTTTTCCTTATGCTCTGTCCCTATCTCCTGGAGCGAAAGGACCAGGGGACAGCAAAGGACAGGGGTACAGAGGAAGCATTAAACTGAGAGCCCCGGTAGAGAGGGAGCTGAGAAGGAACTAACTCGGGCGGCTCGGCAGCTGAGGCAAGAGCAGGAGTGGAGTCGACTTTCTTACTCCGAGAGGGAACAAGTGCTCCCCAAAGAACCAAATAAGCACGTGATCTTGCTGTGCCACATCTGACCATGTAAACGTGCATTTTGCAACCATCCCAGGCCAGGGAGTTTCATTGGCAGTTCTCGCAGATAAAAAAGACAATTTTGTAGCCTTCAGTAGATTTTCACAGGCCTTTAATGCCGATTCAGGGGACAGACTAGCTTTCTCACAATATTCCTCCGGCTGTCTCCGCTCTCTCGTCCCTTCTGCCTCAGAGCGACGCTGCCCGCTGCCCGCTGCCCGCTGCCCTTATATCCCCTTGTCCCAGCGCAGGTGTATGTTTACATATGCGCATGCCCTGTGCTCTGGGGCTCAGGTGTCCATAGTTACAGGTGCACGTGCAAGACCGCAGGTGCTGGTCACAGAGGCTAATGACAACAGGAGGGTGTAAAAAGCCTGATTTTTAACTCATTTACCATACAATGTGCTTGCTTGATTTCTAGATCAACCCCCTGAGAAAGGAAGATGAGGGGGTGTACCAGTGCCATTCAGCCAACATGCTTGGGGAGGCCCAGTCCCATGGCACGGTGACCGTTACAGAGCCCAGCAGATACCAGGCGCCCCGCCTGCCAGCTCTGGAGGACCGCCTGTGATGCAGTAACGTACCTGTTCTAAGTCCTCTTCACTATTTACACACCAGGTCACAAGAGATTGAGATGGCTTATAATGAAAAAGAACAATACGCAAATCAAGGAGAGCAAAATGAGCAGGAATGTAATGCAGTAAGCAGGTAGAGACTCATATGTTCCACACACACACACCACCCCAGGCTTCCCAGCCGTCATGCAGAGACAGGACCTGTGAACGTGATGGGCGTCCATAAGGTGGGAAAGGCCAGTCTTTTTTTCTGTTTCTGAAACTGAAGGGACTGTTCCCTCCAGACCTTCCTAGAGAAGGCCAGAGAGCAGACACTGTCCGGGGAGAGCACCACGGAAGCCTGCATGCAGGGAGGCAGGCCTGCTTCCAGTTCTTCCCTGTGGGCAGCCCTACTGTCTGCAGGCCCTGCCGTCTGTCCTCAGCACTGTGTGTGCCTGCTTAGCAGAGCATCTCCAGGAGAATCTGCCTCTCCCCCACCCAGTGGCTCTTAGTCCTCTGTCCCCTGGATGAGAGCTGGAGTAGCATCTGCCCCCTGCAGGTGAACTCTGAATGCACCCCTTTATTAACCATCTGTTGCTGCCTAACAACCTGCAGAGCTTGCTGCTGCACAGCCATCACCTTTATCCTTTGCTCACATCTGTGTGGACTGGCTGTGTCTCCACTCCCTTGTCTGGGGATGCAGCTGGAGAAGCAGCCCCAGTGAGCTGTGTGTCCATTCTGTGGTCAAGGACATGAGCAAGAGGCCGAGCCCAGCACACAGGCTGTTTCTGCTCAGGTACGACTTGTGTCATAGCTGCAGAAGTCCACGGGCTAAGTCACAGGACCACTCCAGCAGCCCTGGAGGACAGATGTTGCTCCTCCCCCGGGAGGCCATGGGCAGAGGCTCACAATCCTCTCACAGGAACAGAGGAAGGAACGGCCACAGACAGGCACCATCACCAAGGCTGACCAACGGGTTTTTAATAGAGCAGGAAAAATAAGACGCAAGTTTCATCGTGTATGAAAAGCAGAAGAATTTTGCTGTGGTTGTAACAGTACTATGCTGTCAGCCACCCATATATATATATATATATATACTTAATTCTTAAGTATATATATATGCATACACACATAGGTGTTTGTATACTTTAACAGAAATGATTCTGGAGTATGAATATGTTTATTTCAGATCATTTTCAAAAGGAAGCCACAAAGAACCATGGAATTTTAAGCCCATCACCACCACCTAGGTCTTCTCCTGCTCCATGCAGCCTTGCCAGTTCTTGCTTGCATACCTCCAGGGACACGGAGCTCATGACCCCAAATGCCATCTTTGGATTTTCTAATAGTTAAAAGTCCTTCCTCATATTTAAGTGGAATCTGCCTTCTGGAAACACCCACCTATTGGCCTTTCATGTACTTCTTGGGCTTCACAGGCCCCTCTGCTCCCATGGGCATTCCAGATCATTCCCTACCTTCCATTTAACAAGTAGTTGGTCATGCCAAGCAGGCTTCTTTTCTCTAATTATTTCTCCTCTCTTCTTCCTAGGGTCTTAGAAACACCGGTCACGGGATGGCAGGAAAGACAAGTTACGGATCATTTTGCCTCATGAAAAATCAGAACTGTGTTTGTAGACGACCCCTTTTGTATGTTTTTTAAAATTAGATACAAACTAGATTTGTATGCAGGTGTAGTTTCTAGCAGGACATGTGCATGTACTTTTTTATACTTTTGAAATGCATTGCTCTGTAAAGTTCTTTTTCAAACTGTCCTCTCCCAGAGGAGCTCCCATTCTGGTATATTTATAATTCTAAAGGGCTTGAGGGGCACATGTTAACTGTGGCTCTTCACCTCATGTCTGTAACTGGGGGCACTGTGACTGACATGTGTGCTGTAGGAGGGAGGAGGATCCTGTTCTCTGCCTGACCTCTAATTGCTTTGTGACCTCCAGTCCCTTCCCTTGTGGGCCTTGGTCTCTTCACTTGTGACTGTGGCATTTGGAATGGATATCAGCAGTCTCCTTTCTAGTCCTGCCATCCCAGAGTAAAATGACCCACTGGGGGAAAAAAAGGCACAGGAAGTCTGATCTTAGCAGTCTTTGTACAGTGATATGCCCTCAAAACCAAATGCCATTGCTTCCTATTGGGCTGTGGACAGCTACCTGTCCCTCTTCTGTTCCTGCCATTTACCTTTTATGAAGAAATTTAGTACTATATGGGACTCTTTACCAGACTCAGGACTCTCTTGATTGGACATTTGGGGACCAAGATGCCCAGTGTTCTCTGCCAGTTGAGAGTGGGACGTGGTCTCTGGACACCAAACTGTGCAGATGGTCAGGTGCTGTCTTGGCTACAGAGTTAGGGTGTGGTAGAATACATTTGACTCATAGATATTTTGACCTCACCTAGGAATAAGGATTACTTGCTTCTTTTTAATGGAAAAAAAAATTAAGAAGAAGAATATGAAATATCTGGGCTAAAAAAAAAAAAAAAAAACCCTAGGCAATTTAAATCTTTTAAGTCAGAACTAGGATCTCATATGTGAACAGTCTTTAAGGTTCATGAAACACTTTCCACCTACAGTCATTTCCCACCCGCGGGTTGATAGGGGGGAGAGTATGAACACACACACCCCTCCCCAGCTCGTCATGCCTTGCAGAGGAGAAGCCAGGCTCTGAGAGTGAGCTTGGCCCAAGGCCTGCAGGCCTCTGGGCAGAACCAGAACTCAGGGCTCCTAGACTCCTTGGTACCCTTTTCATCCCCAGGTGCTGCTTCTCAGGATGATCTCATAATTATGTAAACTATGTATGGAGGCTCCCACCCTCCAGGAGCTGCTTATCAAATCTTGTCTCTACCTTAATAACACTCATGCAGCTCATGTTGGAGGGAGTCCTTTGGAACTGAATTTTCAGCCTTTAGGCCTGGCCATCATATCTGTAATATTGGGGTGGCTTCACCCTGACATTCTGCATAGCAGGAGACGGGCCTGGGAATCCAGAAACATGAAGTCCATTTGGGAATCCATCTCCAGCTTGCTGTGTAACCCTGAGCAAGTCCCCTTCATTTTCTGAACATTAGTTTTTTCATTTGAATCAGAAGGAAAGTGAAACTAGATGGATGGTTTTCATACTTTAAGGCAGCGGAGCCCCTTCTGGGAATAAAATCAGCTGATCAGACTAGAAGCTGCCCTTGTCTGTAGGCAGTTGGGGCTGCAGGGGGCACCTGTGCACATCCCCTCCTTATGCAGCGCCTCCTCCCCCTCTCCCCACCACCACTTCCGGGATGATTTCCACCTGGCGAGCTGAAGTTCATTCCCCTGGGATTTGAACAGGTGGGCGATGACTTGGTAGGACACTTAGGGAAACTCTCAGGAGGAATAGGGGTGCTTTGGCCCTGGAGAAAGTAACTGAAACACATCAGGTGTCTGTTAATGAGCACATTCATTGAAACCAATTGAACCATCTGGAGTTTGCCTAAAATTCAAGTTGGAAAGCTCTAGACCAGAGGGCAGGGTGGATAAACCCCGTAGTGACAGCCAAGCATCAAGTCTGCATGAGGCTGGGTCCAGCACCATAACTATGTGCAAGAAAATCAGAATAAATGTTAACACAGTCTGAAATTTTCTTCAAAACCCAAAACATAGATTATCATGATTGTTCCAACCTCAGGACATTTCCCTGCAAGGGCCCACGGCCCCTCAGAGGCTGAGGGCATGTGCCGTGACTACTGCTGTCAAGGGCAACGTGACGCCCGCAGGCTGTGTTCTCCATCCTGCTTTCATAAGGTGTCATGTCACGTGGCTCCAGCACCCAGGAAATAAATGTTTTCAAGCACAGTCTGTGGTCTTTGTTCTTGGAACATCGCTGCAGGTGGGCCCAGGGCCCCAGTTACTTCTCTGCCGTCCTTTCTGCACCTTGTCCTTTTGTAGACTGGCCCACAACAGCTACTTCTGCCCAAATCCTCCTTACCTGTCACACCCCGAGGAGTGGTCACAACCTCACCTGGTCAGTGAACTTGCAATTTTTACCCAATTCTAATCATACTACTGCCAGTTTGATTTTCCTAAACCCCCCCAAACTTGTGTTTCTCACTGTATAAGCATCAATACTTTATTCATTCACTCAGCTCTATGATGTGCTATCACTTTCCACATGCATACAGAGACCAGAAGGGTACAGAAACTGGCAATACAAAGTTGGGTGAGAGGCCTCCCCAGTGGCACAGCAGGTTGAGTGCCACACTATGAAGCTGTCCACAGCCTCTGCAGCACAGGTTCGATTCCCAGCCTTCCAGGGAGAAACCCACATGGCGCAGCAGATCTCTCCTGCCTCGCCGCTGCTCCCCTCAGTGTATTTTGGTCATTCTGCCTGTTCTGCTCCCTGCTCTGTCTCTGGTGAATTCTCTCACCCTCCCACGCCTCTGGCCTATACCCCAGTGCTTGTATAAATAAATCTTAAAAAAAAAAAAAAAAAAAAGTTGGGTGGGACCTGGACGGTGCATTCAGGTGAGACTCTACTGGGGATGACTAGAATGAGGTCTCCATCCTACCAGGAAGTCCAGGATATCTGACCAGAGCAAGGGGTGATAAGGGAAGACTTCCCAGAAGAGGAGGCATCTAAGCTAGGATTAGAGTGGGTGTGGAAGTTCCAGGCTGGGGAAACAGCAAATGGAAGAGGCAGAGGTGGGCCTCCCTGATGGCACAAAGGGTTAAGTCACAGCACTATGAAGCTATCCACAGCCACTGCAGCAGGAGTTCAATCCCTGGCCGGGGAGCTGATCCACAGGGCACAGCAGACCTCTCCTCTCTCACCTGCTGCTCCCCTCAGCAGTGTATTTCAGTAGATCTGCCTGTTCTGCTCCCCACTCTGTCTCTGGTGAATCCTCTCACCGCCCCCACCTCTGGCCTACACCCCAGTTCTTGTATGCATAAGTAAATAAAACTTTAAAAAAAACAAAGTTCTAGAAGCAGGGGGTAGGGTTGTTTATAGGCCATACTCTTAGATGCTATCAGCGGCAGCTGGGCTTGATGCTATAGCAGTGAGCAGCCTGAATTTCCATCTTCTGTTGTCAAGTGCATTATAACTGGGTTTGAGGAGTATCATTCCAAAGCTAGTGTTCAATCCCAGACATATCCACTTCCCATTTTAAAAAGTCTGGGTTTTAGTCAAAATGGATTTTTTTTCCTGCAGGTCTTATGGTGAAATTAACCCTACATCATAAAAAACATTGCCCTTCCCTCTCCCACAGGATGGATGTGGGAAAAATTAATAAGGATGAACAAATCAGTCGACAGTGAACCGTCTCCTCTAATGAATTTCCTTCCTAGACTTCGCCAGGGCCTCTTGAACATTAAATCAGAGAATGATTATTATGTGATGTCTTAATTAATTAAGGGAAACCAAAGTGCCCTGGCATCTGCAGTCAATTAATGAATTCAGGAAGCCTGTCACCCAGGGCAGAGTTGGATACCCGCACTTGCCTACTCTCAGTTCAGCGGGGACCTCTGCCCTGGAGTGTGCACTCCTTCCGGTCAGATTTGCCTCTGGGTTCAGCCTCCACCTCATCCAGGGGCTAAGGAGGGTGTGGCACCAGGAAGCAGAGTTACCTGTGTTTCCTTTCACTATAGCTGTCTCTTCCTCATGCCTAAATCTCCCCTGTAATATTAGGCAGTGGTTAATTTTAGTCAAGGAAAGAGTAAAAATCTTTAGAACTAGGGAGTGAGGATGGGGGCAGATGCCTCTCACCTCCATTCATTAATCCGCCCTCCACACACATCTGCAAACACTCACTGTGTGCCAGGAGCTGCAAGGCGCTGAGGGCCCTGCCAGAGCCGCTGGGAACCCCAGCCCGGGGCCTGTCTCTGTGCTGCTGGAGTGTCCCAGCCATCTTCAGTTAGTGTGGGTGTCAGCTTTGGTTTGGAAGATGTGGGACCAAGGTTAAGGCTGGAAGGTAGCAAAACAGCCCGTGAGAGGATTAAACTCTAAAGTCTTTGGGCATGGAGGTGCTGTGTGTGCCAGAGCCAGGGCGAGTTGTCTTCCAAAACCCAGGGGCCCCTCCCCAGTGGTGAAGTAGTCCCAAACTACCTCTCCCAGCCCCACTTTGCACCTTGGTTGAGTGAGGGAGCTTTGGCCAATGGACGGTAAACAGAAGTGATGTTCCATGCTGAGGTCAGGCCTTTAAAGGAGCAGCAGCTGAGAAGGTCTCTGAGGTCCCATCAGGGTTTATCGTCTGGGTCTCTGGACCCCTAAGGACTCCACAGGTGGAATTCTTGGGGTCTATGAGCTCCCCTGAAAATATGAAAAAAATTTGTGTGGATGCGCATGTGTGTGTTTTTTGCTGGTGAAAATGTCTTAGCTTCTCAGAGAAACACATAATATAAAAATGGTTGAGAATGACTGTGGGCAATGGAGACACAAGATGGAAGGATCCTGTGTCTGAGTCTCCACGTGAAGGAAAGGCACCCATTTGTCAGACACTCGCATTCGATTATTACATCAGCAACAAATTAGCCACCATGGTGCTGAGCCCTCAGACAGACGGGGCATGTGCAGTGACAGCAAGCTGATACTGACACACGTGGGAAGACCACTGGCTGGGAGCTGAGGCCACACTCTAGTATCACGGGGCTTTGTGGTCTTGAATGGGTTGCACCATCCTCTCCTCTGGCTAAGTGAGGTGGGGACAGATGAGAGACCCTCAAAGAGCCTTGTCATGGGCTTCTTGCCTTCCTTCCAAGGTCTTCTGCCCAGCTTTAGAAGTCAAAATATGCGCCATTCACTTTCCTTGAAAACCCTGATGGCTTCCCATTGCTGGCCAAAGGCAGGACTTCCTCGCAGGGCACACAGCCCCTTCCCAGTCCTGCTCCTGCCTCCTCCCAGGTCTTCCCTTGCTTACATCATGTCTCACACCCTCCCTGCTTTCTCACAAGCCCCATGCCCTTCCCTCCCCAGGAACACCCTTCCCGTGCCTCTCTGCCTGGCGACTTCCTCATCCAGTAGGATCCTGGGCACCTCCCGCCAGCATTTCCCTTGGGCTGAGCTGCTGCTTGGGGAGCAGTGGTGCAAGGTAGAATCAAAGACCTGAGCTTGAGGTCTGGCTCCACTTACTAGCTGAACATCACTGGGCCTCCACGTTTATTAAGCATGGAGTGGTCATGATAAGTGCCTTGAGGACAGTGAGAAAATAAATATTGTGGGTGCTTAATGTGTGATCTCATGGCCTCGGTTTTCATCTTGCTCTGTAAGTGTCTTCCTGCCAGGCTGTGAGCTCGACTATTTCCCAAACAACCTGTTTAAGCAATAGCCATTTTGGGGTTTGGTCCGAGCAAGTTAATTAACAAGGTGGCCACCAGAGGTCAGCCTCACACCCAGAATAGAATCAACCCAAACGAAAGTAGTTAAATGTCCAGGGATCTGGGATCTGATCAAGAGAAGCTGTGATCCAGCAGCAGCCCTGATGGACCCAGCAAATAAGCTCTGTGTCTGGGCTTGTTCAGCATTGCCTGCTTCAGCTTTGAAGTTTGATTTAGAGGTGCTCTCGGCTGTTCCCCTTTCTGGCCTGTGGTGCTACGTAAATGGGAGGCTTGAGTCCAAGTAAGCTGCCCACTTAAACCTCTTGGCTTTCACTTCCTCATCTGAAAAAAGGGGATCCCCACTGCCTAGTTGTAGGACAGCTGGGAGAACATGATGGCAAGTCAAGGCCCGGCACAATGACTGAGGGCCCAGTACTTTTTAAGTTTGCTGACTGGGTGGGTGCCCCTGAACTGCAATATCCGTGACAAGGGAAGTCCCACAGGTAGAGTCCTCGTTAATTAAGGATGCTCAGCCTCCAGGCCCATGTGGCCCTGCACTCATGGCCGTGGAGGGGTCACCACCAAGCTGAGCTGATTAGGAACCTGACCTGTCTGAATCCATCTCAGAATTTCAAGGACTGAAATAACAGACCCAGAACATTCTGTTTTCCAAGTCTCACCCCATCCTCTACAAAGTCCCTCTTGGTTTAGCTGCAAATGAGAAATGGGCCTGCTGAAACATCATGTTGTTAGTCACGAGGGGCCCCATCCACTCACCCCAGTAGCTCCAGCTGTTCGTGAGAAACTCATACTGTGCAAAATGCCAAGAGCCTCCAACAGAACGTCAGGGGACAATCAGCGTCACTCCAGATTAGACAAATGGCAAAGAAAGAAGGTCTAAGAAGGAGAGGTGATGAGACCAAACAGACCCTGAATCCACGAGAAGCATTTTCAGGCAACTCCAAGGAAAGATACTGAACAAACCACCTCAATGCCTAGGTGAGGCAACAGGATGTCAAAGGAGATTGGGGCGGGGGTGTCTTTACAGGGCTTAAAAGTAGGGGGCTCATGAGCAAGGTTGTCTAGAAAGATGGAAGAGAGTCGGCATTCCGTTTCTGCAGCAGGGTCTGGCTGGCTGGCGTTGCACCCAGAGGGGGACAGTGTTGGAAGACTAGCAATAATCATACTGAACTCTGAGCTTTGAAACTTCAGAACCACCCCACCCCCCAGCAGGTCAAGATGGCATGGGGTGCTGCATTTTGTTAGGGTGAGAGAGTGGGGGAGAGAACAACATCAGTGAGGTCTTGAACAGATCTGCAATGGGCTTGCTCTAGGCAGGGACTGGAGCTGGTCTCTGTGGGACATCAAGCTGCACTGTGTTACCCAGCCAAGAGAAAACAAACTAAAAATATGGTGGAGGGAATGCTTGCAAGGGGCTGGGGTTGAATGGATGACAACCTGGGCCCCTTTTCATCCCTGAGATTCTGTAAAACATTAAGAAGCAAGATACTTGATACAAACTGATCAGCAAACAGCAGTGTACAATTATTTATTTAAAATTAATTCACAAAGCATAGAATGCATCCTTTTCAGGTGTGTGCTTCACTCATACACTTTTTAGTATACCAGCAAATCTGTGCAACCATCACCGCTATTCAATTCCAGAACATTTCAAAACATCCCCCAAAGAAATCCCATACTGGTTAGCAGTTACACCTACTTCCCTCCTCCCCCAGACCCTGGCAACATGTCCATAGACACTTCCTGCATCTATGGACTTACTTATTCTGGATATTTCAAATAAATGGAATCATACAAGACAAGACCATAACGGTTTCAAGGTTCATCCATGTTGTAGCAGGTGACGGTACTTCATTTCTTTTTGGAGTTGAACAGTACAAGGAATAGTCCATGGAAATATTTTGTTTATCCACGCACCAGCGAATGGGCATTTGGGTTGTTTATTTGGTTATGTAAATACATAATGTTAATCCCTTCTCTAAAATTTAGGAAAATCAGTAGCAAAATGATGAACAAGCGAGCAAAACAGTCAGCAACTGGTATTTAGAAAAGGAAAACACCCTTGATTTTTAGGTTATGTCAATTTTCAGGTTAAGTCAAGAGAAACAGAAGAGGGTTATCCACCCCAAACTCCTAATACCGTCCAATCCCAGGTCTGAGTTGAGTCTGTCCACTAAGCCATCAGGTTAATGCAATGGGAAGTCCTTGGACCAGTAGGAAGAACTAAAATCCACAGTCCAGATCAGTGGTTTTAATTGATCTTCTGGAGCCTCCCATGGTTGCAAGGAAGTAACTCAAGGCCAAAGGGAGGTTGAGTCAAGGGTAGACAGGACTCTGGGTTCAGCCCCCACCCCTGCTTTAACTAGTGCAGCTCTGATTTTAATTGCTTTACTTATTGAGATTCTTTTTAGAACCCCTTTATTTGTTCCCAGGAGGCCATGCAACCGTGGTCTAGGTGGCTGCAACACACCTGGACTGGAGGTGGGTTCTCATGGTGCTGCACTTAAGAGTTCTTCTCTGGAACCTTAATGGTGACTGTCTTCACCTCTGTGTAGGCTTTCAGCCCATCCTCCCCCAGCTCCCTCCCATTGCCAGACTCCTTAAAGCCTCCGAATGGCGTGTGGCAGGTGACAATGTTGTAGGTGTTCACCCACACCGTCCCAGCCTGGAGGGCCTGAGAGAAATACAAAGCCTTGTCCAGGTCCCGGGTGAACACAGCAGCAGCCAGACCATACCTGGTTTTGTTGGCCCTCTCAATCACCTCCTGGATCTTCTTGAACTTGAACAAGGGCTGCACAGGCCCAAAGATCTCCTCCTTGGCAATCCTCATGTCATCTTGCACACCACCAAAGACCGTGGGCTTGATGAAGAAACCGCGCTCCCCAAAACGCTCTCCGCCGCAGAGGAGCTTGGCCCCCTCCTTCTGGCCGAGCTGGATGTAACCCAGGATTCGTTCAAACTGGTCTTTGTCTACCTGGGGCCCCTGCTGGGTGTCCAGCTCAAAGGGATTCCCAACTTTCCTCTGCTTAGCTTTCTCTACGGTTCTCTCCAGAAACTCATCATAGATGGATTCCTCAACGAAGGTGCGGGAACCCGCACAGCAGCACTGGCCCATGTTGAAGAAGAGGGCTTCGTGGCACTGCTCCACGGCGTGGCTCATGTCGGCGTCGGCCAGCACGATGCTGGGGCTCTTCCCTCCCAGTTCCAGGGTAACTCTCTTGAGGTTGGAATCGCCAGCCGCCTTCTGGATCAGGTGGCCCACCTCAGTGGAGCCGGTGAAGGCCACTTTGTCAACATCCATGTGCTGGGCGATGGCCGCTCCTGCTGTGGGGCCGTAGCCAGTGATGATATTCACTACCCCAGGGGGAAAACCTGCTTCCTTGATGAGGGAGGCCAAGTACAGGGCAGAGAGGGGGGTCTGCTCTGCGACCTTCATGACCACAGTGTTGCCCGTGGCAAGCGCCGGGGCAAGCTTCCAGCCCTGCATGACCAGGGGGAAGTTCCATGGAATGATCTGGCCACAGACGCCAACAGGCTCATGCCGGGTGAAGCAGAAATGCTCCCCATCCATGGGGATGGTCTTGCCATGCCACTTGTCAGCCCAGCCAGCAAAGTAGCGGTACACCTTAATGAGCTCATCCAGGTCCAAGACATAAGACTCCTGGAATGGTTTCCCATTGTCCAAAGTCTCCAGTGAGGCCAAGTAGACACGATCCCGCTCCACCAGGTCAGCCAGGCGGTTCAACAGCCGGCCCCGCTCAGAGGCATCCATCCGGCGCCATGGAGATCCCAGGCGGAAGGCCTCTCGGGCCGCTTTCACGGCGAGATCCACGTCAGCCCGGTCCCCTTCAGCCACGTGCCCGATGACCTCTCCCGTGGTGGGGTTGACCGTGGGGAAGGTCTTCTTGCTGACCGCATCATGCCACTCATTGTTGATGAACAGCTGGTTGTAGCGGATGTCCGGGTTCCGGATAGGGGTTGGGAGGGCCGCTGAGGAGTATGGGGCTGTCCTACCTCGGAGACAAAGCAGCCGGGGCACCAGGAAGCGCAGCATGCTGACTAATCTGGAAAGAGGCTGGAGGAAGCAGGGTGAACAAGTGTTGGGGTGGGGCCGCAGCTCTATGTGCCAAGATTCTAAGAACAAGAATTGTGGGCTCCCTGATGGCGCAGTGGGTTGAGAGCAGCGCTGTGAAGCTGTCTGCAGCCTCTGCAGCGCCAGTTCGATTCCCTGCTGGCCAGGGAAATTCCCACATGGTGCAGCAGACCTCTCCTGTCTCACCCGCTGCTCCCCTCAGCAGTGTATTTCAGTCCTTCTGCCTGTTCTGCTCCCTGCTCTGTCTCTGGTGAATCCTCTCACCCTCCCGCCCCTCTGGCCTGCACCCCCAGTGCTTGTAAAAATAAATACATGTTTAAATAAATAAATAATAAAAACAAGAATTGTAAGGAGTACAAAAGACCTGAAGAACTCTCGTCTAACTGCATCTATCCTCTGGCTCACACCCTCACCTGAGTGGGGTCTTTGCTCAACTGGTCACCTTTTCAGCAAGGTTTTCTCCGACCAAATGAAAAGGCTACTGCTACAAAGCTGATTTGCAAACAAAATGCAAAATGTATGGATTTATAAAATTGCAACTTTCCTCACCCCCAGCACTAGTTTCCACATCTGGGCTTTATTTTTCCCAAATAATATATCTACATGCCTGTATTTTTACTGTCTGCATCTCCCCTGTACATTATCAGTGCCATACAGCAGGGATGTTTTTTCCTGTTTCATTCATTGTCATGTCCCTGAGCAGCTGCTTGACAGACAGTTACTGAATGATAACTTTAGACACATCAAAAAAAGCAAGGGCCCTGCCAGGTTTCCAAGCGCCATATGAGTCAATGGCGCCCAGGAAAGTCCTCCCTGGAGAGGTGGGAGGGAGTGGAGCCAGCAAACCTCTCTTAGGGTCTGCCCATGCCGGAACAGAAGTCACCTTGGAGCCAACAGCCCTGCGTCAGGGAGCAGGGGTGCAAGGGGAGGTGGGGGTCACCAATCCAAGGCGCTTGGCGTGGAGGGCTAAATAGGCAGGAGAGGCGGTCACAGATGAAGGCTGGCAAATAGCTCATGCCAAGCCAAGGCAATTCCCACTCCAAGGCCCATGAGGTTTCTGCCTGTGCCTCCACTTGCATATGGGGAGACTGTTGCTCGATGCACCCCACTTTACAACTTGCAGGCCACCTTAGGAGTTATTCATGGGGCCTCCCAGAAGCTCTAGGGTGACAGGGGTAGATGATGACTCCCATTCTGGAAGAAGGCTGGGGATCTGAAATGTTCAGGGGCTCACCAAAGACACACAAGAAGTAAGGATAGAAGCGTCAGCCCGGGTTCCCACAAACTCTGGGCAATTTTAGCGCCCACTTTGCTAAGCACCGGACTTTTTGTGTCAGCACGCCTCTTTCTTCTAGGGAGGGACGCTCAGCTGGCTGGAGTCTGGCGGCCGGGTCCGCCGGCGGGCGCGAGCGTGGAGATGGAGTTAGCGGGGAGGTTGGGGGGCGGTCTGTGTCTGGGGGCCCATCAGGCGCCATCCTAGGCCCGGGGTTCTGCAGCGCACGCCGGGAGGAGAGGGAGATCTCCCCTTTCCCGAGATGGCGAAGCCGTGGAGCAGAAAAGCAAGCCGCCGCCGCGGGCACGGAGGAGCGGCGAGCCCAGGGGACCGGGACGAGAATGGCGCTACTCACCTGCGGAGGCTCCGGCTCGGCTGCCGCGCAGGTTCAGCTCTCCCGGGTCGGGTCCAGCCTCCCGGGTCGGGTCCAGCCTCCCGCGGGGCCGCGCCGCGGATCCCGCCTCCGCGCAGTCGGGTGGCTCGGCCGCCAATGAGGCGCCGCCGGGCCTGGGGCGCTGCGCACGTGCCGTCCAGCTGACCCCGCGGCTCCTCCCTCCCAGCCCAGAAGAGGTGGAGGTGAGGCTTGGGGAGCGGGGGTCTCTGGTATCCCCTTTGCCGAGGCCTGGTGTTCCGCGGCAGCCCCGCTCCGCGTCCCGGCATCTCACACCCGGCAGGCGCTCCGGGCCGCGCCTGGGCTCAGAGCCGGGGTCCTGGGGCGCTGGTTCGGGAAAGGAAACGAAGACCCAGAATGGGGCTGGGACTTCACCAAGTCACAAGGCGAGATCTTCTGCTTTCGGAGGCTTAACCTCAAGTACACTTTGCATTTCCTCCAAAGGCAGGACGCAGCGTGTTCCATAGCAGTCCTCGAGCCTCTTCGCGACATTTTGTGTCTCCCATCTCATCCCCACCACGCCACCTTGGCTCACCAGATTTTCATTGTCTTCTGAAACCGTTACTGCTCCTTCCCCACTTTCTTTAAGATTTTGTATTTGTGCATTTAAAACATGGGAATTTTTTTTTTTGTCCTAAGGACAAACAGCATATCACAATGTTGAAAGCCTGAAAAAAAATTGTCTTCCATCCTTTTGCCCAAAAGTTACCCACTCATCTCACCAGTATTTTTCAAAAGTTCTCTTAATAAAAGTGAAATCAGGGCCTCCCTGGTGGTGCAAAGGGTTAAGTCCAACCTATGAAGCAATCCGCAGCCTCTGCAGCACGAGTTAGATTCCTGGCTGGCCAGGGAGCTACCCACATGGCGCAGCAGACCTCTCCTGTCTTGCCCGCTGCTCCCCTTAGCAGTGTATTTTGTCAGTCTGCCTGTTCTGTTTCCCACTCTGTCTCTGGTGAATCCTCTCACCATCCACACCTGTGGCCTATACCCCAGTTCTTGTATGCATAAATAAATAAATTTTTAAATCTTTAAATATATACATATACACACACACAAAAAAAAACGAAATCATATGGTGACCTCTATTTTGCTGCCTGTTTTTTGGTTAATACTATTATGAGCCTTTTGTCATGTCACTAATTACAAGATGACATCATCCTCTCCAAGGTGGCAGAGAGTCCATGGTAGGGTGGACCATTGATGGACATTTGTTGTCTCCGTCTTGCGTTGCCATAAAGCTACTAAGAGGGACATTGGAATATACCTTTCTCACTCATGCAACCTCCAAGCCACCCTCCTGGCTGGAGAAGGCATCCTAAAAAAAAAAAAAAGCTGAAAAATAGAAAAGCTCAATTTCTGGTCTTTTTCTGCAGCTGGAGTTTGGAATATGAATTAGCTGCTGCAGATTAGCAGTCCCCCTGCCAGACATGGAAGGCCAAGGGGGTTGTCTCTTGGCTTCACCAGCCTGACGGCAGAAAAAGAAGGATATTTGTTTGCCTTAGCGCTCCTTGTCCTGGACCCTTTCCCTGACTTCCTGGATGGGGGCAGCATCTGTGGCTGTGGCTCCTTGAACTCCTGCTCTCCGAATGCTGCCTGCAGGATATGTCTGGATAGCAAGGAGGCTAGTGGGTCACTGCTATCTGTTCTTATTTTTCTGTTTCCCCCAACAACAGCGTAGCCCCTGGCAAAGACCCTTTTGCTCCCCCACAGCAAAGGCCAGCCTGTCCCCTTTGACACCTGTGTGGCACTCTGTGGTTAATGAACTAATGGTTATTTGGTGAGTCATTAAAAGATCTCATTGATAGAGATAGTGAGTCCAAGACAAAGTGAGGGTCAGTCCTCCCGTGGTCACACAGCATAGGAAAGTTGCGTGTGTGAGAGGCCGGTGGCATGAGGAAGTAGCCCCTTGGGGAGAGGTCAAAGTCAAAGTAGAGTCCTGCAAGGAGTAGCTGAAGGAATGGGGGTACCCACCTCAAAAATCAAGGGACAAGTTTGTTCCCTCCAAATCTTCAAAGGGCAAAAAGCAAACATGGTTTGGGGAATCCTATAAGGTAGTGTCAGACTACTAAGGAGAAGTTCTAGAGGCAGAGGAAGGGTTTCCTGAGCAAGAAGAACAGGCTAAAGATGGATGGAAGAAGCTGCCTTAAAAGGAAAATAAGGAGAGATAGACAACCAGGATTTGGCAAAATCCTGTAGATGAGAGTACCAGATAAGGACTGAACTAGACTTAGTCATGCATCAGCATTGTGTGGGGAGCTTTTAAAAAATTACCATCTCCCTGGGTCCTACCTGCAGAGCCTGTGGGCAGCCTCACAACCCAGAGCTCAACTGCTGCACCACCAGGGGAGGCCCTTCATTTTTTAATTCCCATTTCCTATAACTTCTTCATGTCTTTTTTTTTAAAAAAGATGTATTTATTTATACAAGAATTGGGGTATAGGTCAGAGAATTCACCAGAGACAGAGCGGGGAGCAGAACAGGCAGATGGACCTGTTGCACAATGTGGGAATTAAAAAATGAAGGGCCTCCCTTGGTGGTGCAGCAGTTGAGCTCTGGGTTGTGAGGCTGCCCACAGGCTCTGCAGCGCCAGTTCGATACCTGGGCACCAGCGAGGTTCCCACCAGAAAAAAAAAAAAAAAATGAAGAGGCATGTAAAAAGCAAGCCAAGATAGACTTTTTTCCCTCTTTATCTCCTAAGTGACCATGTGCATTCTGTGAACGTTACACTCTGTAACCACCACCCAAGTTTGGATGTTGTCAAACCAAACCAGTCCTGGGTATTTGCCATAAACTCAGTTTCCCTCCTGCCTTTCTTCTTCCTCCTTCTCTCCCTCTGAGGCTCAGAAAGGGAAAAGGACTGGCTCAAGGTCACACGGATGAGTGTCGACCTTCAGACTAAAGTCGCTCTCTCGAGGGCACACAGCTTGGGCAGGGAAGTAGCGTGTGCGACAGTGCGTGGGCATATGAGGATGCGGGTTTTACCAGGGGCTTTGAGGGGTTACTGAGAAGCACTATTTTGGGTTTTGGGGCAGCTTAGAACAATAGCGACTTCCCTGCCACTAGTATAAGAGAAAACCCCAAAACGAAATGGCTTCCATGAGAGAGGTTTATTTTTCTACAACGTGAAGGAAACCCAGAGATGGACTGACTAGTATTGGGATGGGGCTCTGCTCCATCTTCCTTCTGATAGTGGAGGATCCTTCTAGAAATCTGAGGAAGAAAAAGGCAGAGGGACATGCATTTGCAATTTGAGAAGAGCACTCTTGTTGTATGTGTCACCTCTAATTTCCTGCGGGGGACAGATGACTCCAAGTTAGGTTATTAAGATCAGTGGGTGTTGATAATGACTTAAGCTGGCCCAAGGGGGCTCTTCATACTCTCTCCATTTTTGTGTCTGTCTAAATTTGTTTATAATAAAGTTTAAAAATGAGAAAAGATTATGTTACCAAATCAATAGCATGTAAAATTCCAGTTCAAAGGCTCTGTAATGACTCTGTCCTTTCATGACCCATATGATTAGGCCTGAGGGATCCAGGTCTTTATCAAAATTCATGGTTAATTATTGGACAACAACCTCAGAATTGGGCAGGGATGGTACAAACGGCAGGGAGCTGGGCATCAAAGCCTGGGCCCTGGTCCCATTCCCAGCCTCTGTGTGTGACCACAGCCAACTTCCTCCCTCTCTCTGCTCAGTCTCCTCCATTGTAGTAAGGAGGGGATGGGGAAGGTCAAAAGGGCCACAAGGAGATCAGGGCTTCAGAAAGTTGTAGTAAAGCTGTTAAAAAATGTTTATGGTTAGCAGAGTCCTTGGACCACAAACTTTGAACCCTGAATGCTGCTATTTGTGAAATACAGACAGTTGACTTTCCCATACTGTTATCATCACTGGTGGTGCGCTGTTATGAAGCAATGGTTGAAGTACAAAGGGTTGGCAGGGTCCAAGTGTATCTTCACACATTTAGTGATTGAATGATCCTGAAAGGTTGCTCCATCTTGAATGGCACACGGAGCAGACTTGCTGAAACAAACAGGGCATCTGACACCTAGGTGACCAGGAGTGAGGAAGAGGGAGGAACACAATTCAAGGTGCCCTTGACCATCACCTCTATTTACACTCAGTTTTTTCTGTTTCAAAGACATTTCCTCAGCACAGCCTTCACCAACACCCAGCAGTTTCCAGCTTCGCAAACATCTGCCATTCGTCATTCTTCCCTTCGCTCAGCTCTTATTACTCGGGACTCTGTTGCAGAAACCCTGGCAGTGAGGAGAAGAATCAGACACCGTCCCCTTTCTCAGGCCACTTGCAACCTGGGGAGCCAGACGCACATGGAAACCTGTGTGTTTCTCTCACATATTGATAGTATGAGAAAGCCAAGAGGAGCCAGGAAAGCAAAAGAGCAACAAGAAAGGAACAAAACTGCCTGGGAAGGTCAGGCAAGCCTTCCTGGTAGAGGTGATACTTGGATTGAATCTTGCAAAACAAGAAGGGTGAGGGTTGAGATAGCATTTCTGGACGATGCTGTGCAAAAACATCACCTGTGCAAAAAAAGCCAGAGGTGAGAGGGAGCAGGTGGCTTGGGGGACAGTGAGTAGCTCCTGGAATCTGGTGCCTGGAGTGTGATAGGCAGGGTGAGGACAGTGAGAGAATGGAGGCTGGACAGATCATGAAGGGCCCGAAGTCTCATGCTAAGGAGTTTCTGCATTTTCCTGAGGTCTTTAAGGCAGGAGGTTGACTCGGTTAGATGAGAACCATTTAATTTCATGAGCTGGCAAGGCAGTGAGTAAGGACTAGCTTTAGCTCTGACCAACAGAGACTCCAGTAACAGTGGCTTACACAAAATGGGAGTTGTTTTCTCTAAATAAATACAAAAAGGCTGGAGGGAAGCAGTCTAGGAGATGATAATACTCAAGACCTCATATGCATCCCTCCCTATTCATCATTCGGCATCCTTGGTCACTGTCTTCACCATCCACAATGGCAGCTACCACATGCATATTCCAGGCAGCAGGATGAAGGGAAGGATGGAGACAAAAAG